ATTATATATATGTATAATATGTACACACATACATATACATATGCATAACACACATATATTTGTATATGCATATGTATCAGCAACTAGGTGGCATTGGATAGAGTGCAGGGCCTGAAGTCAAGAAGACTCATCTCCTGAGTTCAAAACACTTACTAGCTGTGCGACAAGTCACATAACCCTGTTTGCCTCAGTTTTCTCCTCTGTAAAATGACCTGAAAAAGGAAATAGCATACCACTCCAGTATTTCTGCTAAGAAAATCCCAGATAGGGTCATGGAGAGTCTGACATAACTGAAAATGACTGAACAACAACAGTATATCTATATGTATGTGTGTATGTGTTTATGTGTATATACATGTATATGTGTGTATGTATATAATCATGTGTGTATATGTGTATAGACATATCTGTATACCTATTATATCACTGTGCATAAGCTTGCAGTTAGATAAGATATACATGTGTTTCTGCAAGCTTCCCAGTATCGCTGCCTGAACTCACACACCAGCATTCTGGTGGCCCAATTCACCATATGTTTGTATGTGTCTGTATACTTATACATACATACACACGTGTGCATTTATGTATACACTATGCATAAGTATGTATTTGTGCACATACATAGTATGTAATGGTGCCATGTGTATGGATAATAACAGATGTAGAGGAGAGTAGCTGGGATCCACATGGGTTAATAAGCTCTTATGGATTTATCTTATGTAGGAAAACACTCAGAAGTTGAAGTGGTTATAAAATTTGTATGTGTTTGGTTTTGATGTCCTTTAAAAATAAGTACATAATGAAAATTTTCAAGAGGTAGCTGTCTAATGTTCCGAAGCATATTGACCTAAATGTATGCCAAATATTTTTAATATTTAAAGTCCTTTGCAAAGATGTGTTTATCGTCAGTAACACTTTGCAGAAGCTGGGTACGGCTGCAGTGTTCTCTGGAAGATGGAGAAATGGAATCGGAGAAGAAATGACTTGCAAAGCCCCTTATATTCTTAGTCCCTGGGCTCCCTGTCCTGTTGCTCAGCTTGCTTAGTCATGCTGCTGTGTCATGTAAATACTGCTTTCCATCCCAGCTTGCATAGACAAAGTCAGGGAGAAGCTCACCCCGGGGAATGGACTTAAGCTTGCAATGAGATAAGATACATGTGTGTTTTTATAAGCTCACCAGCCCCTCCCCCTTCACTCACACTGGCAGTATGGGGCTGGCAACCGCTGCTGGGGCCCAGCTCACTGTGGGCAGTGGCATTCACACAGGTGAATTGGCCACCTGCTTGACTACCCCCACCCACCCCCTCCTCAAGCTGTAGACCAAGTGAAGATGCTGTGATGCCAAAGCATTTCTTTCACAAAACATGTTCTGTTTCAGGTGTCCTGGAATCGAAGGGGAGAGGCTGATTTGTTAAGAGGGAGGGAGGGAGTTGCTCTGGAGACCCATAAGCTGTGGGGGGGGGGAGTGGGGGAAGAAGAGGGACAGAGGGAAAGAAGTGGGGAGGGAGAGAGAGAGGTGAGGGGGGAGAGAGAGAGACAGAGAGAGAATGTGAGTGAGTATGTCTCTTAGGTAACCAAAAGCTAGGTCGTTTTTTTTTTTCTGCTTGCTAAAACCATGGACATAATTGAAAGTCCACACAGAAAAGATCATGCTAACTCACGTGCAGATGTCCTTCTGCAGGTAGGTTTAGAAACTGAATAGTGCAGTCCTTTTTCTAAAGAAACTTTTTTTCTAATGGATTCTCTTCCTCTTTGAAACTGAAGGAAGGCAAATGAGGCTGCTTTGGAGTAATTTTTATTATGTCCCCCCAACTCCCATTTCTGCCTCAGAAAAGCCTTCTCTCAAAATATAATTTCTGGGCTAGAAAATGACTTTTCCAGTGTTACTGCCTTGTCGTGCAGGCAGAGGTATTTAAGGAGGAAGGAAGACTTTAAAAGCAAAATAAACAACAACACACAAAAAACTCCCAAACTTTGGAAAATTGATTTTTAGCTTTCAAAGCCAGATCATTTGTGCATGCCTGAGCACATACTTGCTTCTTCCTTTTACGGAGGTCACGGTTTCAGTTTTTGTTTTGTTCATCTAGTGAGTGCATACAGTGGCAAGAAAGAAACCGGAGTGTGTGAAACTAACTCAGTAGAATGAGAGGACTGTCTGTGTCAAAGGAGTGTGTCCCATGTTACTCTGGGCTTGTGGTTACTGAGGAAACATTTTGGGAACAGAGATGTTCTCATGGGGTCAATGGGAAATCATCTTTGGTTGAAGCCAAGACTCAAGTGTTTATAGGAATGGAAGAAATTGAGTAACAGGTAGATTAGGCGAGACTGGGTGATGTAGTGGAAGGAAGGACTTTGCCTGGAAGTTAGGAGACATGGGTTCTAATCCCAGCTAGGTGGCTGACCTTAGGCAAAAAAAAAGGCTTAGCCATCCTGAGCCTCATTTTCTTCATCTGTAAAATGAAAAAGTTAGACAGAATGTGGCAAGTAAGTTCTCTTTCAGCTTAAAATAGTATTGTTAAGATATGTGCTATTGAAATTCTCTATGGGATGGTGCTATTGACGGCCAGATGTGTGTGGACAGACATTTGTATCCACACTCCTTAGGGTCTCACTCTTGTTGTGTTTCAGTCATGTCCGACTCTCCGTGACCCCAGTTGGAGTTTTTTGTTTTTTGCTTTTTTTGGCAAAGATACAGGAGTAGTTTGCCATTTTCTTCTCCAGCTCATTTTACAGATGAGGAAACTGAGGCAAACAGGGTGAAGTGACTTGCCCAGGGTCACCACAGAACTGGATTTGAACTTGGGTCTTCCTGACTCCAGGCCCAGCACTCTGTCCATTGCACCATCTGGCTGCCCAGGGTCCCACTATTTGCTCTTATTTGTATCATATACTCACGGCATAGAAAATACAACATTTGTCTGAATATGAGCCATGCTTTCCCCTAAGTTGAACTGAGTTAAAAACCTGAGTTCCACCTATAACTAGTGGTGTTTCTCAGTCCATTTAAGGTTGCAGCCCATATTCAGACCAGTGTGATATGTAGCAAAATTAGGATTTCTGAAGTATTTTTTCTAGTACTTAAGAAGTTCACACTTTTCATTAAAGAGTATGTCTCTAGGCTCCTTGGTTATAACAAATGCAGTGTTTTTGGAAAAGCAGCTGCTATGTAAACTGCTGTATGTTTTATTTACAAATGCAGCATTTGCCTGTGCATTTTAAATATGCAAAACTCTTAAAAAATGCAGGTATAAATAATTATGGGCAAGCCTGGCATTTATCATAATGTACATTGATATTGTTACATGTGAGAGAGGTATAGAGAATGAAGGAGGAAGGTATTTCTAGGGATTGAAAATGGACTAGAAGTCGTTCAAACTACCTCAAGGCATGTTATCATCCCAGAAGAAGTTGCTGTCACAGGAAGGATTGAGTTTGTGCTAAGGCCGTAGGCTTGTCAGGGCCAGGAGAAGTGAGAAGGTGCCTTGTCATAGGAAGAAGATGGGGAGCGGGCTGGATCCTGAAAGGGTGATAGGGAGAAGTTTCAAGAAGGGCATGGAGATAAGGAGAGGCCTCCTTTCAGTCAGTGCAGCTGTGGTACCCCAGTGTTAGGCACGTTTTGGTATTGCCCTGGGTTGGGGACAAAGTACGGCCCGCAGGTGAGAGTGGTGTTCTTGCTGGGCCCGTTCCCGGGAGGTTCTTTCAGTGCCAAGAATCTTCTCGGTCACCTTTTAATAAGGGTGCTGCCTTTCCTGGGCCCTGCCCGGAGGCTGATAGCGAAAGGTGAGGGGGATCTAAGACGCTGCAGCCGCAGAAGCTTTCAAAACAGCGTTTATCATCAAACATAGAGCGAGAACATTGACTTCTAATCAGCAGGCCAAGTTACTGGGAAAAGTCAGCTGATGGTCATCTGAACTCGCCGGAACTTTGTACCTTGAAGTATAAATGATTGTACTGGGACTTTTTGAACTTTTAAAAGCCAGCAAGTCATTTCAGGGAGGGGGAGGGGGGAGGTGGTGGGAGGTGGACCGGCCAGGGGTTGATAATGGAAAATAGCACACTGCCCTCTGGTAATCAAGGTACAGGATAGTCAGTTGTGCACGAGCCTTAGGTAAGCCAGCAGAATGACGAGAATAAGTGATCTTTCTGTTCTCTTGGAGTTCCGCTGTGTACTTGAGGGGACGATCACTCTTCGTGTTCTGTGGGGTCCATTTGGATGAGTTCTCAAAAGCGTCGTGTTGGCAGTCTAAGAGGTTGCTTTGTCTTTGGCTGCCTCCGGGTAACCTTGTAAAATCTAGTGTGCGCCGTCGGTCAGACTCTGTGGCAGGGTCTGAAGGAGCCGGATGGGAGAGGAGGTGATTGATGTAGCAGTGAACACAAGTGAAGATTCACCAGGCAATTAATAACATCCTCCAGTTCAAATCCCCTGCTGTGGAATTACCATTATTATTGTTATTATTAACAACAGTACTGAAAAGCTCACCTCTGTGAGGGACCATAAGCCAGGAAAATGAAAGGAACCCCAACACTTCTGAGTTGGAAGGTACTGGGAATGAGAGGTGGCACATAGAAACACTTACACATTTTCACGTTTTGATCATGTATTGGATTTGGATCTGGCCCCTATTAATGACACATCTGGATGAGTTAAGTGGAGGCAGGCGTACATTGTAGTTTCATCTCATCTGTGTTCAGCTGTTTTCCCTTAAGTGTAAAAGATGTAAATAATGTCATACCCAATACCTTTTTTTGTCTTTGTTGCGAGGGATTCACCGGTTGCGACAGTAAACTTGAAAAACCAGTATGCCTTAAGTAGTGGGGAGCGCCCCCCCCCATATCAGTTTTGGCTTTTCATCCGCCAAGGGCTAACTGCCTCCGGAGGGCGGCAAAGGGAGTGGGAATGCAGGGAGCAAACTGGTGTTGTATGAAGCGTGTATTTGTGTTTGGGAAGAGTAGGGGGCACCCAGTGTGTGATTGGAAATGGAAGGCTCAGGGCCCGTCTTGTAGCATGACTGCCAGCAGGGGGAAGACCATGAGGATGGAGCAGGGGAGGCCATGCCGGCTCATGGTTGGTGTCTTGGGGGAGCAGGGAGCAAACACTCTCCCGGGGAACCAGAGAGCTAGGCGAAAGGGCTGCTCCAGCCTGCCCACCGGGCTGACGATGGTGAAGCGGGCGATTATGCAACCTCCAAGCCCCCTCTCCCTCCCCCCTCCTCCATGGCTGCGTCCCTCCCTCCACTCTGCCAACACTCGATTTCTCTCTCTTTCTCTCTCCCTTGTGTTTTCAAACAGGAAGTGCACGGTTGTCTGTAACGTGCCGCCGGGTCCCAGAATGAAGGAGTGAGGTCTCCCAGCTGCCTGTGCAGGATCCTCGACTCGGGAGCCCGCTGCAGTCTGAGTTTACCGAGAGCACCCTGAGGCAAGCAGGGTAGCCGCCTGGTCCAGGTAAACAGAGGGGACTGGGGGTGATGGCCGGGGGTTGGGGGAGGCCTCCCGAGCTTGCTGACTTCTGGGCTGTCATTGATAGATGCCCCCTTCGCTCTCAGATGTGCCTCCTTGCCCTGCAGGTCTGGCCCACTTCCACCTTCTTATTTTACTCTGTCTCCTCTTTCTTCTGTTCTTTGCCCCAAACTCTGCTGCCGCCGCTGCTCTGTGAGGATGTGTTGGGGGATGCTTAACCCTGCTTGGACGGGGTAGGAGAAGCAGCGTGCGCCCATTCTGGGCTCCGCGCCCGAGCTGGCTGCCTGCTCCCGGTGGCAGGCGCCTGCAGCCTGCTGCTGCCACCGCCGCCGATGCTGCCCCTGCTGTTCCGGCAGCTCTTTGTTCCTGGCACAGGACAATTCTTAAGGGTTATTTTCTGGATTGTGCTGGGAGATTTGTTTGGGAGGAGGTGCTGGGGATAAAGGAAAGGAGAAGAAAAAAGAAGGGCCATTGAGTTGAGGGGTATAGGCAGGGGGACAGGAGCAAGGGTCTTGGTCTCTTCCTTTACCTCTGAAGGAAATGCTGTAGCTGGTGAAATGCCCCTTCTTTAGTTAGTAGAGTAAGGAGTGCTGAACTCCTTCCTTTCCGTGGCAGACGATCCAAGGTAGAAGGTAGCTGGGCAGGGGACCTCAGGCAAGAGAAAGAAAGGGGTACAGATGCGTGAGATGGCAGAGAACTCTGGGGTGACTTATTTAGTCTGGTGTCTGGGCTGTTAATTCCTGTCTGGTTTCTCGGTCAGGCTTCCTTTGCCTAGACAGAAGCTACTTTTTAAAGTAGGATCCAGACATCTTTGGTTTGTTAAATGTTGCTCATCACCTAGTGACCACTGAGCCTAGCTTTTCTTGGCTACAACTGGTTCAGTGGTACCTAATGAGGATACCTTGTTCCATCTTAGCAAAGATGTCACCAGGCTCAGAGAAAAGTGGCTTTTGTCCCTCACTCTGCTCTCTGGTCATCTCTCTGACTGTTCTCTTCCACTGTAGATCCCTGAATCAGTTGGACTTTTTCACCAGCCAAATCCTGGCCATACTCTGTTACCCGATTCTGGCAGCTGGCATTTATTGCGCATTTTAAGATTCAAAAAGTGCTTTGCATTCATCATTCACTTATTCATTCAGCAAGCACTAATTAAGAGCCTACTGGGTGCCAGGCAGACTGCTAGGGGCGGGGATAGGAAGAGAAGGCATTTCCCCACAGATAAACACCATTCTCCTTGAAGCAACCAAGGGCAGAGCAGTGAAGATGAGGAAAACCAGTTTGATATGAAGCTCTTTGGGACTTTAAGTTGTCCATTCGAGTCATATTAATACTTGATGCATTTTTAAACTAATTTTCATACAAAGTAGTGAATAAAGAAATAATTTACATGCAGAAATCTTCCTTCCTATGCAGCATCATTGCTGGGGGGACCAGGGAAGAGTGGTAGTCTCTCTATGGCTCTTCTAAGAAAGGATGGCATTCTGTTCCTACATCCTGGTATTGGGCCACCAGGGTTTACCTGGGGCCAGAGTTAGTTGTGATTTTTAAGAGCGTGATATGGATTCCTGCCAGGAACACTATAGATGATGAAAGATTCATTGTGATTTCTTTAATTTAGTTTAATTCATGTTGATTCCATGGGAGAGTGAGTGATGGATGGTGGCAAAGTGAACACGTGGTCAAATGGAGAGATTGCTGGCACTGGAGTTAGAGGACCTGAGTTCAAATACCACCTCAGACACTTTCTGTGTGTGAAATTAACCTTGGGAAATTAACTAAGCTCCCTGGACCTGAGTTTCCTCTTCTGTAAAATGGATTAGCCTAAGTGGTCTCTGAGGTCTTTTCCAGGTCTGGAGATAGGCTTAGAGCTGGAGGGTGTCCAAGATCACATAGGTAATATAAGGCAGAGGCAGTCTCTGCCACTGTGGTGTCACCCTTCCCACAACACCAAGCTGCCTTTGATCCTACCTCCTTTTTCTTCTGTTGAATAGGGATAGGGACCCAATCTATGGTTTCATAGGTTTAGGGAACTCCCAGATGAGGAAATTCTCCCTATTGGTTCAGCTTGCCATCCTCTCTACAATTTATAATCTTAGTTATTCAGAACACCGAAGGATTAAGTGATTTGCCCGTGGTCACTCAGCCACTATATGTCATAGAAGAGACTTGAACCCAGGTCTGCCTGTTTTCAAAGCTGGTACTCTATCCAGGCTACCATACAGCTTTGACCATAGTAGCAATAACATTGTGCCCTTTATTTGTGTATCCCTGCATGGATTTCAAGCCTCAGCCCTCTAATATACAGCTATTTTAGGGTTAGAATAATAATGAATAGATAATAGAATCCTAGGTTTGTAAGAGGGAGGTACTTTATAGGTCATCTAGTCTAACTCTCATTTTATAGATGAGGAGACTAAGACCCCAAGATGAAAAAGTGACTTTATTGCCACACGGGGCAAAGGCACAATTTGCACCCACATTGTCAGACTCCAAATTCATCACTTTGGTTTTAGCAGCAAATATCCAACATATACCTTAAGGAGTAAAAAAAAAACCTAATTTTATGCTTCTATTTTAGAAGACATATAGAAGTAAAATAAGTCTAGGCTTTTCTTGGTCAAGAGTGTAGACCGACTTAGGGGTGTTCATGCTTCCTCCAGCAGCCAGGGGAAAGAAGGGATCTTGCAGAACCAGGTGACCGCCTCTTGTTTTTTAGGAAGGAATTTAATGGAGACATCAGAGTTTGTGCATCTTCAAAAAAGGTGTCATGGGATGAGAAGGGTAAACCCAAATTTCAGAGAGGCCTAGAAAGTACATCCTCAGCCTGGGACCCCTATCATTTTCCAGTCATTTTGTTTCAGGATTGAGTCTTCAGTCTTCCTTGGCATCTGTTGTCCCAAGACGAAGGTGTAGGGTGGCTATGTCACCTGAGTGTATTCCTCCCAGGTGATTTACTTGTGACACAGGGGACATCCTGAGCATCATTTCAGAATGTCTTTAGCCACTCAATGAGAGTTTGACTCAACAAACAGTAACTGAACCCTAGAATTATTCTGAATTAGGTGTTGCTTGGTTTGACAGGTCAACTCCCACTTTTCCCAATAATGATAATAACCACAATATTAAAGAGTGGCCATGTGGTGTAGCAGGTATGGGCAAATGCCTCCACCTCTCAGGGTTCCAGGCAGCTTTCTGAGATTTGAAGTTAAAGGGAAGTTAGTTGAAGATCTGCTATCTGTGGAGGGAGTTTCCACCCAGATGAAATCATGGTGATGAGTGAATAATAACACCACCAATAATTAAATGACATTCATAAAGTGGACAGAGACTTGCAAAGTGTTTTACTTTCATGATCTCATTTGTCCTTCCCCACAGCCCTGTGAGATAAGTACTAGAGGAGAGGTGTTATTATCCCCATTTTACAGATGAAGAAACAAAAGCTGGGACAGAGAGGAGGGAGGGAGGGAGGGAGACAGAGTGGAGAGAGGGAGGAAGAGAAGGGAGGGGAAAACAGACAAGGGGAAGGGGGAAGGAGAGAGAGAGAAGGGAGGAAGAGACAGACAGACAGACAAAGGGAGAGGGGGAAGGGAGAAGAGAAAGAAAAAAGGGGGAGGGGGGAGGGGAAGGAGAGAAAGAGTGAGAGAGAGAAAGGGGAAGATGGGGAAGGGAGAGGGACAGAGACATGGAGAGAGAGCTCAAAGGGAGGAAGAGACAGACAGACAAAGGGGGAGGGGGAAGGGAGAAGAGAGAGAGAGACGGAAAAGGGGGAGAGGGGGAAAGAGAGAGAGAATGAGAGAAAGGGGAAGAGAGGGAGGGAGAAGGACAGAGACATGGAAGGAGGGAGAGAGAGATTGAGATTAAGATGAAGTGACTCAGCCAGGGTCACACAGCTGTGGAGGATCTGAGGTGGGATCTTCACCCTGATCTTCCCAGCTCCAGGAGCAGCCCTCTACCTTCTCTCCTGTGATGATCTACAGACCAGGCTTTGTCTTATTAGAACTTAATACTTCCTTGACTGTGATATCTTTTATCCCTCTTTCCCCTCCAAGACTAGCTTTATCCGGGTTTCGTCAGCATAGTTTGTGCTGGGGTTGCCAACCCCCTTGAGGCATGTTCACGCCAGTCTTCCAAATCGACCTTAAATCATGTTCTGGGATTAAGGCTTCACTATCTTGAATGGAGAGGTTGGCCCGTTTTAATGTTGTTTACAATAAAAAACTGTGAGGTACTGGAGACAGATTGACTTCCTGTGAGAGGGTAAGGCTACCTTTCTTAGCATCATTAATTAGGAGCTGGGAAATCTTCTGTAGAAACCTCCTTATTGGACAGATGAGGAAATGGAGGCCCAGAAAGACTAGAGGATTTCCCCTAGGGAGGAAACAGCAGCCAGACTTCGAATTCATGTCCTCTGACTCTAGATTCAGCGCTCTTACCACGTTACTGTGACGTACCAGTCACAGAAATAAATAACTTATTTCTTTGGTTGGCGGTTGTGAGGGGTGGATGGAGAGTACATTTGTTAATTGAATTTGGCCTATGCATGACATAACTCTGGTTAGCCTGACTAAATGACTTGCCAGTCATTGGAATAAGGGGCAGTATTTGACGCCAGATATTCCCAAGTCCACCCCTGCTCCTGTCTCCACGTCACTGTGCCTCCCAACTTCCAGCCCTGCTTTCTGAGGACCATAGCTCCCCCTGCCAATAAGAGAGAGCTCAGCCTTCTAAGACAACAGCAGCTGCTAACTCAGCCAGAACAGATCTGGCATCTACAGGGGAAAGCCAGTCCATGTAGAATCTTGACTTTAGATAAGATCCTATATCCATATTGAGTCTCCGTAATGGGGACATTTGAGGTCCTCTGACATTTAGTAATTCTTAGTCACTGTATCTGTTGCAGTTTTATTTCCCAGAATATTTACCCACAGTATTTGTTTTTTTTTTTTTAACTTTCATCACCTCGTGTTGATACAGTTGGTGCCATG